AAAAGATTCAAATATTATATCGTGAATTTAGGAAGAGAAAAAGTTCATTCACTTGTTGTAATCTAATTGTCTGTTTTATACTTTATATTGCTCACCCTGTTCCATGTGGTTTTTACTTTTAATCATACAAGATTATCTGTTTTGATTTATTCAAGAAACATTGTATATGTTATCACCAAAATTACTCAATTAAGAAGACAATAATAATAATAAAAAAAACATATATCATAACTTGTTCACGCACAGCCTCCTTTTGGCTTCAGTGGACAATATACTCCGTGTTCTAACTGTTTATTCGGACTATTCCACATGAAACCCTATAAATTTTGTATTTTTTTTAGTGAATATTTATCATGAGATAATTCTGTTAAATGTACTAGTTATAAGATCCTGAATAAACGATATTATTATATATGACACTTTTATTTGCTTGATTCAATTAAATTTTACTTGCTTCAACAATTCCTTTTTTCCGTGTATTGATGGATTTAGTCATCATTTATGGTCAATGTAACGAGAATGTCAGCAGAACATGCAGAGAGTTTAATGAAGAGTATGCTCATTTACCTCGATTGAATTTGAAAAAAATTCATTAGATTGAAGAGACATTTTGAAATGTTTGAATCATTACGAAAAGCGATAAAAAAGTGTATTAATAAATCTAGAAAGATGCAGCGGTGCTCACTCGATAGTGTAGTTCTTTTCTCGTGTTGACCGGTGTTTCGTAGACTCTCTGCTTGATAGTACCCCACAAATAGAAGCCTAGGGGTGTAAGATCAAGAGATCTAGGAGGCCAGTTCCATGGACCCAAGCGTCTAATCTAATCCATCGATCATCAAATATTCCGTCCAATTCTAATCCGACTTCTGCAGTGCAATGAGTAGGAGCTCCATCAAGTTGATACCAACATGTTTGATACTGTTTTAGTGTCAGTTCTTCAATGAAATCCTCAACCGTTGTCCTCAAGATATTCAAATATTTTCTAGAATTGAGGGTTTCATCATAAATCAAAATGCGCAATTGATTGTCCATGATGATTTAACAGAAAACGTTGAAAAGTCCTTCTGTTGAAAATGCCTTCTCTCGAAAATTTTGCTTCATCGGTCCATATTATCTTCTTGAGAAAATCCTCGTCTACTTGTGTAGGCATCATCAACAATTCACATAGTTCGAGCCTTTGTGTAGCGTCTTGGGGTTTGAGAGCTTGAACTTTAAGAAATTTGTAGTCATGCAGTCCGTGTTCCTTCAGAATCCTATGAACTGATGAAAGTTTCACACCTAAATCTCGAACTGCAACACGGATGGAAGCTTGAGGGTTCCCGTATGCCAAAACATTTATTGCGCTGTCTTCATTACCTGTCACAGGTCTTGGTAAGTTTCTTGTTGCTAATAAATCCAAACATTTCGAAATATCTCTTCAATCTAATGCATTTTCTCAATATCCAATAGTTATTTTATTGAAGACGATTTCATAACATGAATGATCATAACAAGCAAACCGTACGAGATAGGTATAGGGAAAGTATACACAATTGAGTTGCAAAATGTTACAGCTTTCAGAATAACCCACAATATACAGGGTGTTCTATTCGAAAAAACTAAGTTTCTTTCATTTTTATGAGTCCCCGGAAGAAGCTTACTTCTGTAACTGAGATCTTTGTTTATACGTCCATGCAGTTGATCGATAGAATACTCGATGGTCTTATGCAGCTAGGATCCAAATTGCGATATCTTGTCAATTTGCAGTGGGAAAAAATTGTTATTTATCAGTGGTCAGGTTTTCGCAGAAAAATTGGACAAAACAATGTTTGACTCGAAAACCGCTACAGATAGGTATAGGGAATTATCAAGAAAAGTTATGACGAATAGAACATGTTTCATTATCCACGTTCACGAATTTCAGAAATAATTTGTCATTCTGTTCTCCAGATACTCCTAATGTTCCATCCACTGTAAAACACGACCTTCAAAAGTTCAAAAAAGATTCGAACACCTACCTCCTCTCCCTATCCTCTTTATGTACGCAAAATGTTCCTCAATTAGAAGAATTCCCTTTCATACGCTCCAAGTGATGAACAAACACCAAACCGAAGCCGTTTTCGAGATAATGGATTTCTCAATTTTTTTACAATAGTGAGTTCTCCTTAGTTATTGGTCAAACCGTCAAACATATATAGCAAAAATTCAAATACAATAGTTATGAGAACTATCAAGTATTTTCATATGGTCTAGGGGAAATGATTACAGAGATATAGGGTGTTCATCAGAATCGAGACTTTTCAAATTAGGATTTTTTGTGTTGAAACTATTCATTATTGGTCAAAACGGCTTACATGTCATTATATATTAACTTTTGATTCACTTTCTACTGTCATTCTGTCATTCAATTTGGACAGATATTTGTTATTATTATATATCAGTAGATAGTAAATCAAAAGTGAAGACAGGGACATGTGAGTTGTTTTGACGAATACTGGATAGTTTCGACACAAAAAATCCCATGGTTGAAAAATCTCGATCTTGAACACTCTATATTCCTGCTAGACCTCAAGTATGATACATTGATGAAATCAGCTCTTCAGGAAGAACCTGAAAGTGCAATAATATATAGTGTGTCCCATTCAAAAAATTCCATCAACAGCCGATATCTTGGAATTCGAACACCCTATAGATATGTAAACAATTTTAGGTGAAACCATGAAACCCTATAGATAATAGTTGTATTCCAATTTTGTCTATATATCTGATGGTTGGCTAATATCGAAGGAGAACACACTATTGAGTCACCATATAATACAGGATGTTTCATGAGAAGACTCACATAGCCAAATGGTTAATAGGAGAAATCTAGACGAGATGATGTATACATATGAAAACATTTTCCGATCCTCCATAACGAAGATACAGTGTATTATGTGAAATTGCTACATAAGTTTGATGGCCGGTATTACAGAAATGATTCATCATAATCTGCTGAAATTTGGCAGCGACGTATCTCTACTCAAAACTATTCAAGACATATCATGGCAGAAATTCTCGTGGTTTGGACTTGGGAAAATTTTATGTTTTATTGTTATGTCAAAAAAGTTCACTTTGTGACCACTTTTCCCGAAAAATTCCATCAGATTCAGAAAGATCAGGCAAAATGCTATAAGAACGCACTGCTCTTCAATTTACACGGCACACTTTGACCGGTTCAATAAAAAAATAGGGAACAAAATCGTTCCAATGAATTTTAAATTTGGACCTGGCTGATAACTGTAAACTTTCAACTGGTATCATGTGAATTTGTTTTTTTCTACATTTTTAGTGAATAGTAATTGACAGAAGGGAGTAGTTCTGATTTTTTTATGATTTGACATGTTAGTTTTTGACCGAACTCCTAGATAGATATGATTACTCGTGACTCTATTTCATGAATTTGTTATAAAGTAGGCCCTGTTTTTATTTTATGTAACGTGGCGATTGTTGATAGGTAAACAACATAGGTAATCGAAATGTGCTTGCACTCTAGGTGGGACTTCATATTTCAAATGCTGAATAATACGAAAATACAAATGCTATGCTATGTTTGATACCATAGAATATTTCCAGACCCAAGAATACGTTGCAGTGAAACCTAGAATGAACATTAGCAATTTTGAATAAATATTAAATGCATCCTTATACCTATCACTCGCAGAAGTGTATCAATAACAAAAAATGGAGCTAAGTTTATGCGTGATGGCATAACTAATTTGATAAATCAACATAATATAGGCACATGGATCCTCATATCGTAATTTCATCAGTTGGTACCTACCTAGTACTAGCCTAGTACCTACCTATCAGTTCAGATTATCAACAAACGTCACGTCTCGTCACACAAATGGAAAACATGGCCTACTAGATATCTCATCATTACTTCAATTGAAACCCATAAAACAAAGTCAGGAATAATAATATCTATCTGGAATTTCGATAAAAAATTATCGAGTTTTTTCTTCTCGTCTATTCTTCTGTCAATTACTATTTAACAAAAATTTAGAAAAATTTGAATTCACATGATACCAGTTGAAAGTTGACAGTTATCAGCCAGGTCGAAATTTAAAATTGATTCGAACGATTTTGTTCCATATTTTTTTATTGATACCAATTTCACAGAATACCCTGTATCTTCGTTATGGAGAGTCAAAAAATGTTTTCATATACACAGGGTGTTTCAAAAAAACCTAACCTCCTTGCTAGGGTAGGTAGAACATCGCAAAATAAGTTGGGTGTGCTCAGTGAAAAAATGTCGTAACGGCATCCGTTTTCATGATACAAGGTGTTGGAAAAAATATTTTTTATTAAATCAATGAGTTCAGCATCAGAAATGTATTGCTGTTCTCGGTTTTCAATAAATAGGTGATAATTTTTCATAATACTCACTCTAATACATAGCTTTATACCAGCAACAGTTACCACTTCATCATTTTCAAATCCAAATATTCCGAAAACGGAACACAGTATCCAGTTTTACCAAGAGTACCTTTTTGGTGTGAAATTGAATGATGTTCAAGTTCACATCAAATTTGAATCGAGAAATCTAACCTCAAAAAGAGTTATGTTCAAAACTACTCGAAACGAACCGTGTAACAAGCGCCCTCTATGAGAGTCAGATATAAAAACAAATGCATGCAATGTATCAGATTCCAAGAAACATCCATGCAAAATTTCATCACAATGTTGCCAGTAGTTTCAACATAATCGTAAAAAATGTGTAAAAATAATATTGCCTCAACACCATGTATCTTGAAAACGGATGGCGTTTCGACATTTTTTTACTGAACAAACCCAACTTATTTCGCAATGTTCTACCTACCCTAGCTAGGGGGTTAGGTATTTTTGAAACACCCTGTATACCTCAACTCGTCTTGATTTCCCCTATTAACCATTTGGCTATGTGAGTCTTCTCATGAAACACCCTGTATATCTTGAAATGAATTTCGATACTTTCATGAGTAGTTTATTCTTTGTAGATTATACCACAGTGCGAATCCAAGTACATGATATTTTCAACTGGTAAACATTTCGGTATACATATCCTGCCACCCGACGGAAATCCATATAAATACGTGGGATATTTGGCACATCCTACAGGGGTGAGTACCCAATTCTTGAAATATGTCACATATGATAACAAAAAAATTGAATGATATCAGTAGCGTGTAATATTTTTCCATATTATCAACTTACTTGCTTTCCCCCCTATAAACTCCACCGGAATATTTGAACGAATTTAACTCAGATATGCCTAATGTCCTATATGTAGTACACCTATGCTAGCTCTACTTTTTTCAACACTAGCGCGATATTCCTTAATATAGCAATGCTACACATTCATTCATCACATATAATGATTATAGACTGTTGGCCCGCGACACAAGGTTTATCGATGTTCTAAGTCGGTATGCCATTTAAGGGACCCACCCATTTAGTCCAAGTTAACAGGAAGGAGTGCCTCGGAGAGTCGCAACCCAGTCCTTGCCCCGGCCCTGACCTCACCTTTCGGTTGGAAAAAAGTTCAAAATTTTGTTTAGGAAGAAGCTCGGCAATGAAGTGCAATGATCTTATCTCACGAAAATTGGGGTGCTTTGCCGGTTTGCATACGCTTAGGTCACTCCCCAAGGGCGGCATACGAACCGGAAGTGGGAATTTTTCAGTGTTATAGTCGATTATCGAAGAATGTATGCCCTTTGGCGAAACAATGAATTCTGACCCATTAATCAGTTTCCCGACATTTGCATACGATTCCGGAGTGGGGAGCTTGACTTATTCGAACATCAATTGACTAGACATCTTTCAAATAATCGATGATTTAAGTTCGTATGCAAATCTCTAGACCGATAAACTAGGATATTCTTTATAACTGTATGCTATTTGCATACGAATTCAATGTGAGCATACGTTGTTATAATCGGGCAAACCCGCGCGTGCCTCGGTCCGGCGCGGCGCCCCGCACTGCAGGCCAGAGGTGCACCGAATGCGAACTAGATAATCGGGAAGTCTCATAATCTCACTTCACATGAAACCGGGTCAAAGATTAACTTCCTGGGAGTGATGGGGTATTCGAAGACGCAAATTGCAGATATATTTGTATTTATTCATCAGAAATTTACAGCTCAACAAAATTACATGTGTGAAAGGTTTAGTACCAAGAAATTTTTTTGTGTAATTTCAATTTGAAAAACAGGGCTTTGAAAAGATGATAAAAAAAATTGACAACAAGATACTCGCAGGATGATCAAGAGGGATCGTACAGGGAGAAGAGGGGTGGATTATTGCTCATGATCGATACTCACAATAAATCGAATTGAAATTCTTCCCTGGGGCTTATGGGACTACTTATCATAACACTGGCGTCTGAAAAATATATAAAGAATGTACATTTAATTTGTTGAATGTTTTGGGTATAGTATGGGGTCTGTATCCTGAACTTTAATTTACATTTTTGTTTTTTACATAAAAACAAATTATTTGAAAATGAAATTATATTAAATGAAAACAACATTATATTTCAAAGGAAAAATTATACGACGTCCTCTCTATCATTATCTTCAGAGTCATCTTCGCTCTCGCTGTCTGAAGATGATTCTCCAGAGTTGTCATCAGTACCTGTTATTAAGAATATTATTTAATTATTGAAAAATCTTGGCATGATCGAAAGATATACCTGATACTTTCTCAGTTGAAGTCTCAGAGATTATGATATCACCAACCTCTGCTGGAAGAGCTTCACCAAGGTACCAATTGAAATCGTACCCAAAAAAAGTATCAAGGGCCCAGCTCCCTTCATTATTTTTTATGTAACTGACAATGACATAACTTCATCAAACCCAGTATAGTTGACTGGCGTTTAGCGATAAGATTCACACGCTGCACTTATATAGAGGGTTACTGGTAATCCGATTCATACCACTGGTAGGGGAGGCAGTAAGAAGTGAATAAATCTGTAATATACATTATACAAAAGTAAATGGTTTTTGAGATATTCAAATATCGGATCTCCGACAAAAGAGAAAAACATTATTGAATGCCTACTAAATCATTACGTGCTACACTCTACCCGGCTGACGCAGCAAATCATTGTTCAGATATGAAAATTGTTTCAACAAAAAAAAAAGGAAATACTTCAAACCCGGGATTCATATTTCTGGCACAATTTGACAATTTGGCGCATGATCGCTATAAGAGAGCTGCGTGTAGAGCTGTATTCATCATGATAATCTCAACTCGATAGTGAAATAAAATATAGTGTTCCAGTAAAAAAAAATCAACAACTACCCCATAGTTCATTTGTTATGAACAGCCTGTGATTTTTTCGATAACAATGAAAAATCTCTTGGGAAAATCATTTTAATTGGTTTTTGAAATTTTAAAATCGGTTCAGAAACAACTAAGTTACAATGGGAGATATTTATTTTTTTTTTTTATCGCTTGAAGCGCACGAAAGGGAATCCCTATAATGTTCAAAGAACATCGTGCGTTCCTAGGGAGGATAGGGACAGGAGGTAGGTATTGGAATTTTTCTTGAACTTTTGGAGATTATATGTTGTTGGGAATACTTCCACAGGCAATGAATTCCAGAGCCTAGCCGTTCTATGGATGAAGGAGTCCTGATAAAGTGCTGTTCGACATCTTTCGAGGTTGACAACGAAAGGATGTGCTGACTGGGCTTGTCTAGTTCGTCTGATTGGTATTGCTAGTGAAGAGATGATAGCAGAGATTTCCGAAGAGCATTTCCCGTGGAAGTATCGATAGAAAAGTGAAAGGTCGCCGACTTTTCTACGGTGTTCCAAAGATGTCAAAGAGTGAGTGAGTGTGGCATCACCCACCAGGCGAATGGCTCTTCTCTGGATGGAATCTAAGAGCATCAGCGTATGTTTTGGTGCTGAACCCCATATGTGGGAACAGTATTCTAGAACAGGCCGTATCTGCGCTTTGTAGATCATGAGAAGCTGTTGAGGTGTAAAGTAGCTTTTCGCACGGAACAAGAATCCGAGTTTTTGTGAAGCAGCTTTTGCGATGGATCTGACATGATTATCCCATGAAAGAGTGTTGCTGATGGAAATACCGAGCATAGATATGGTGGGCTTGGTGGGGATGGTGGAGCCAGACATTACAATATCGGGCATACTGAGTTCCGCCTTTCTAGAGAAAATGCAGGCATGGTGAAACACCCTGTACGGAATGTGCAAATTGTATGCAAACTATCATCTCATATATACTGTGTGGTCCACTAACCATGGTCAAAATTTGAACATTTCTTCGATTATCGATTATTTGAAGAATATCCAGTCAAATGATGTTCGAATAAGTCGAGCTCCCCTCTCCGGAATCGTATGCAATTGTCGGGAAACTGATAAATGGGTCCGAATTCATTGTTTCGCCAAAGGGCATACATTCTTCGATCATCGACTATAACACTGAAAAATTCCCACTTCCGGTTCGTATGCCGCCCTTGGGGAGTGACCTAGGCGTATGCAAACCGGCAAGCGCCCCAATTTTTGTGAGATAACATCATTGCACTTCATTGCCGAGCTTCTTCTTAAACAAAATTTTGAACTTTTTTCCAACCGAAAGGTGAGGTCAGGGCCGGGGCAAGGACTGGGTTGCGACTCTCCGAGGCACTTCTTATTGTTAACTCGGACTGAGTGAGTGGGTCCCTTAAATGGCATACCGACTTAGAACATCGATAAACCCTGTGTCGCGGGCCAACAGTCTATTATGGACATGTCAGAAATATTCACAGACTTGCTTGATTTGAGCACAACAGTTTGAAGTAGGGTTATTTCAGCAAATTGATAATTAGAATGTACGCTTTTCTTGGTCAGTTATTTCTTCATTTTTATTGTTCAAATCCAATTTGTGGTCCTAATGATCAGGTGAATAACATATGTTTCATATGTCGTATCATTGTTTTGAGCATCCATCATATTTGATTTTTATATCTCGGGTTTATTGTTACCGTCCTACATATAGGACATTAGGATGCCAGAATCTGAACTTCGCGCTCCAATAATTGAGTTCTTGAGTTGGATTTTTGTCACAATGAAGGTCAGGTTGGTGTTGTTGAAAATTCAGCTTCAGAGGGTGATGTGGCATTATTTGAGATGAAGAAAATGATATAGAGAGAGAAGAAGAAATCCAAGAGAGTTAATGAACAAAAATGGATAATTAGAGGTTGGATATAAAAAGATGTGCCCACTATACAATGCTTTTGATAATGAAGAACAAATAAAAAAATACTATGCCACTAGAAGGCGATAACATGACTCGATCTGTAGAGATATGAACACACAGTAGATGCTGGAATACAAGATTTGAAAAATCAAGAGACAGGACTATTAACTTTGCTAGCGACGATGGTTTTTTTATTTTCAATAGATACTTCATTGTTTTGATACTTGAAAATTGATATTCGAATTGGAAAGTTTGTCAACATATTTGAATTTAGTTATTCACGAATTGAATAATTCATATATGTGGACAAATCCCCACATAATTGGTGACTCCGACGATATTCTTGAAGCATTTGACAAACAAATATCGTCCAGTGATAGTGGTAGCAGCTGAATTCTACGTTGGACAACATATTATATTATCAGTATGAACGGCTTTTGCGGTGGAGATACTATAGTATCAAGAATGATATATTTGTCGAGTCAAACCAGATTGAACAGCATCAATCAAGCGGTGATTTCGCAAGTCAATTTTCTCAAGGCTGCACTCACCACCATTCTGGACAAACAAGGTACAGTTTTGGTTAACATCAAATGAAGCCCATTTTCAGAGCCGAAGATTCAAAACTGATATATTCAAGTATCATGCAGCTATTGCACGCCTCGATCAGGAAACGACTCGAGTCGTTGAACACATAGTCACGAATCCACCAACTACAGATAAGTACGATGCCATTGAAGATGCACTGCTGAATCATTACTCTGTGTCTCAGCAAACTCAATTGAGAAGATTAGTTTCTGGTCTCGAACTGGCACACCAACGACCTTCAGAAGTACTGACAGAAAGGATCAAACTCAGTGGTTTTCAGCAAACTGAAAGTTCCACAAAACGCTGACGGTCTCGAGAAACCTCGCTGATAATTCATCTTTGATAATATCTCTCAAACAAAATTTCTAGTTGATACTCGTGCGGGCATTTCTTTGGCTTCTGGTTCAGTGACAAAAGACCAAGAGAAACACAAGAAACGGAAACTGTATACTGCCAGCAACACGATAGTACAAACATATGGAGACCGAGCGATTACTCTGAATCTCGGGCTACGCCGCATACTCACTGGGTGTTTTGCATTGCCAATGTACCGTATCCTATAAAAGGAGCAGATCTCAATGACAAGTACGGCCTCCTAGTGGACTTTTCAGATACCGGATGTCGCAGCACAGGAACGTATGGACCAGCTCCAATCAAAACAATCAGTGCAGTCACCGTTAGCACGAGATATACAACAATCCTCAAACAGTTGCCTGAGCTTCTGAGAAATCCATCTAACAGTTTGGGGATCAAGCATTCAGTAAAACAATTCATTCCAACTGACCCCAGTAGCCCAGCGTGCAAGACAACTGTGCCTGGAGCGTCTCAAAATCGCTGAAGACGAGTTCAGGGTAATGGTTGAATCAGGTTGTGCAAGACCCATCCAATAGTCCTTGGGATACACTTGAAAAGGAAGAAGAATTGTGACTGAAGACCGTGCGGAGACAAACGCAAGAACAACGGTCAAACAGTACCCGATAGATATCCAATATCCTTCCTCCAAGACTATTGACTATTAATCTCCGAAAAGCATTCTATCACATACCGTTTTCGGAGAAGACATTCCCAAAACATCAGTTATAACACTATCTGGACTGTTTGACTTCGTCAGCATGCCTTTTGGCTGCAGAGGAGAAACCCAATCGTTTCAGAGATTTATAAATGAGGTACTGAATGGACTCGATTTCATTTACGCCTACGTGGATGACTTGATGATTGGCTCGAGAACACTAGAAGAACATGAACATCATCTCCGTTCAGTTTTTCAACGCCTGAGCATAAATGCAGAGAGAAGCGTCTTATTTGAACAGGAAAGTGTAGATCTTCTTGGTTACCGAATCACGGCTGGGGGATCATTACCACTTCTGAACCGCGTCCAAGCTTCACTGGATTACCCAAAACCCGAAACAAAAAAACAGAAAACACATGCCACGAGCAGCCGCAGCTCAAGCACCATTGAACAAGATGCTGAAAGATTCTGTGAAGAACGATAAACGACCTTTTCCGCGGACTACAGAGTCAGAAGCAGCTTTTGCCAATGTAATAGAACTACTCGCTGATGCCACACTACTCTCATATCCAGTGGGTTAGAGTCGAGCTTCGTCTCAGTACTGATGCATTGAATACGTGCTTGGAGCAGTCCTTGAGCAGAAGGTTGATAATAACTGGGATCCGTTGGTGTTCTTCTTCAAAAAGCTCTCACCTGCGCATAAAACTACAATACGTATGACAGAGAATTAACAGATATGTCTATGGGGCTGTCAGATTTTTCAATCGTGGGTAGAGGGCAGAGAATGTGTCATCAGAACTGATCACAAACCTATATCACGTTTACCTTTCAACAGCGAGCAGACAAAGTTTCACCACGAAAGGTCAGACAACTATGATACATGCACAAGTAGTTGATGACGATCTGAAAGAACTCCTGCGTGATAATGAGACAACGAGTATCCTCTTTGCTGCGCTATCTCGTCTAGTTGGTGGTTAGCGTCTAGCAGCGAATGTGGTGGTTGACAGATGGCATCAAACGCTCAAGGTATCCATCATGTACCAACTTTGATCAGAGTGTACCAACATAATGCTTAGTGGACGCAAATATTGCCTACAGTGTACTGCTTGGACTGAGGACCTGCTATAAAGAAGACCTCTTCATCTGTTCACATGTCTTTTTGAGACAGGATGCAGTGAAACGTCCTTTGGAACAATCATACACTGGACCTCCTCAAAAGTAATCAAAAGGCTGGATGATCGAGTTTTCATAATGAATGTGAATGTCCAGAAATGAAGGTGAACGTTGAGCGACTTAAACCTGCACATTTATCTAGCAACGATGTATTCCACACAGTGGCGAAGTTAAGGGGGTGGGGCTTGGGGGGGCTAAATTCCCTGAAATTACGACCTAGCTCCCCTAACATAATTGTGAGAAAGTATATAGTCGTTCAAAACATTTAAATAATTTCCAATATACCAATAGGAACTACTGATGGACGAATTTTCAAAGACAGGAAGCCAAAAATTATAATTCTCTCGCATTCAAAGTTGAAATAATTAAGGTGCCTCAAAATCAACAGTATTCTATGATTTCCTTAGTAATATATTCAAAGTGAGGACAAATCAGGAAATAGATTGTCAAAAATTGTTACTGTGATGAGAAAAAAAAGATTTTTTTATTTATTTTTTTATCAGAAACATACAGATCACCCTAATTATATGTTTCTATAACTATCAGTAGGTATGCTCAAAAACAACATAACATTGAAAAAAAACGGATGGATTGGCAGGGGTTCAGCACCAAAACGACTTTAGTGTTCACTTTTCATTTCAAAAACGGCTATTCCCATTGATTCGAGACTTGATCTAAATATATCCAGATTATATTCGAGATAGTATCGATTGTATAATAATTAGCATAATGAGTCGAGAGTATATGTAGTGTTGACAAAAAAGTGAGGCATCTGGGGCGCGTCCGATAATCTGAAACATGTTTCTTTGATGTAGAAGTTCTGGAGAGTCTACATGGTTATTCATCAGTTTATAGAGAAAAAGCAGGTCATGGTGGATTCTACTCTAACTTTGTGATATTCAAATCACGCCTCAAAGGTTGATAAGAAACAAAACCTGGGAATGCGTTGAATCTTTTTAGAAAATAATCTTCAGAAATTTAGTTTCGAGAGTTTCTATTTGATGGCGTTACTCTCATATTGTCTATGGAGGACGCCTCTGAGGGAATATATTGCCGACTTGATTTTTGTTTGGCTAGGCTACGCTTAGTCGGCGGTCTTAGGACTGTTGGCTGGAGACTACCTGCACTGATGAGAGTTAAAGAGCTAGAAACCGCGGTCTGTAGGTGTCTAGCGTGGCCTGGTCAAATCGTAATCAATAGGCATACAGAAAATAATCACTTTCATCAGTATTCGTTTATACGAGTCGATGCATAGATTTCGGGAGGATGTAATCCAATTTTCTGCGTGGCATTAGCCAGGAAAGTAGTTGTTTTCCTCCCGAAATCTACCATTGTTGTTCATTTTATGAACAATGTGTGAAAGAGACCTTGGGCTTTTTGTATTTATCTCGATACTTTGATGTGTTACAGCTTCAAGATTTCGATATTTCATTCGACGGACGTTATATTTTCACATTCGGATTGGATGACCGCTGCGTTCTGAAATGGAAGATCAACACTAAAGCGGTGGAGATCATGAGGGTTTTAGGTGGGAAAGAGCTGGAACCTTACTATTGCCTAATTGAAGGAGGATACAACGGCTGGCTATTCAGAGAGATAAAGGATTTGTTTTATTACATGCAGATTTTGCAACAGGAAAATATCGACTTGCCCAGAAGAGTATCAGATAGCATATCTATTACGGAAATACCGGATTTATTCAGGACATGTGGATTTTATCCTTCAGAATTCGAGGTATGCATGAGCATAATATTGTTCTAAACAAGTTAGTGTATTCAGATCTATGACCATAATGATTATGATATATGAATTCTGTAGTGGCTTTTCTTTAGAACTGTACTCATTGATGGATTCCTTTTGCATTCTAACAATCGATTCATACATCGTACATAATCAGTATGGCGAAAAGGAATATTGAATAATTCAGAATTTCGTGTCCTTCTCTCGTTCACATTGAATGTTACAAGCTCTAAGATTTCAGGTGAATTTTCATTTCTAAAACAATTGTGTACGAAAATATGAGACTTGCTTCCAACCTTCTGTGTTCTAATGTAATCAAGTCCAAATTATCATTTATCCATGATCGTTTTATATTTATATTCTCCTTTTGCATAACCTAACCTATATATGCACAGCACCTCAGATATTTTTTCTGAATGCCTTCAATCAACTTGTCCTTGTCATAATTCAGAAAGAGAATCTCGAACAAAAATAACTGAGAACATGAATGCCATATTTTGACAAAAAATAAATGAGTCGCTTTCAGTTGGAATTTGGAAAAAATATGATCAGAGCCTACTCATAGGATTTTATGAGTAATGTTTTCCACGTTTTTGTTTTGTGAAATCGGATAGTTGATAGCGGCGCTATGGTTTTGGGCGGTTTTTGTCATTTACCCTGTATGTTCATGAAATACAGAATCAACCTTTCTGAAAGAAAATATTTTTTTTCAGTAGGTACCACCTGAGAAATCCCATAACCTTCAGATAACCGACATTAAATAGATAATCCCAACATACACTACACTGTTTTACCACTAACCAAACCGATTTTTTAACGCCTCGACACGTGTTTCGCTAACTATGTTAGCATCTTCAGGAGAAGATTAAAACTAAATATCCTATTCTAGTGTGCTGCTTATATACTAGGTATATGTTCACCCAACTGTGAAAAATACTAACCGTCAAGTTAATGTTTGTCATGGTTGAGTTCACAAGTTAATCTTAAATTTTTATTTTACTAAACTATATAGAGGGCTATATGGAATAGGTCCATTATCCTTATTCATTACTCTATTACTATTCTTAAATATCTCTAAGCTTTCATATGCGTCTAGTTTTCTAATGTTATTAACTTGCTTAACTAATTTGAGGTTAGTAATATGTGTGTTATGATTGTGATTGAACATATGTTCGGCTACACAAGATTTATCTAACCTGCCATATTTTAAATGGGCTATGTGTTCTTTGAACCTTGTTTTTATGGGTCGCCTGGTTTGGCCTATATATGTTTTATCACAATCATTACAACTTATTTCGTATATTCCCGACTTTTCAAGTGTGTCCACTTTATCTTTCGGATTGCCTAATAAATTGCCTAATTTTGACCCAGACTGATAAACGCTTTCAAAACCTAAGTCTTTGAAAACCTTATCAAGTCCCTTCGTATACTTGGGATTGTACGGGATTGGGATTCTTCTAGAGTTCTTTTTATCCGCTTGAAAAGTCGTAGAATATCGAAGTGTTAACTTAAATTTATGTCTACGTATTAATTTATCTACTATTTTGATATCATACCCATTGACGCCAGCCACTTTATAAACAACATTTCTTTCAGCATTGAATCTTTCTTTGCTGAGAGGAAATGAATGAATATTTAAGAATAGTAATAGAGTAATGAATAAGGATAATGGACCTATTCCATATAGCCCTCTATATAGTTTAGTAAAATAAAAATTTAAGATTAACTTGTGAACTCAACCATGACAAACATTAACTTGACGGTTAGTATTTTTCACAGTTGGGTGAACATATACCTAGTATATAAGCAGCACACTAGAATAGGATATTTAGTTTTAATCTTCTCCTGAAGATGCTAACATAGTTAGCGAAACACGTGTCGAGGCGTTAAAAAATCGGTTTGGTTAGTGGTAAAACAGTGTAGTGTATTATCGTGCCAAAGGTTCCAGTCTTCGATAAATCCCAACATTTCAAAAGTCGATTCACCCTACGAGCATGTTTTCATATCACACACAAGCTCGAAAACTCAACAGACACTATACCTTTTGAACTTCAAATTGAGGCATTATCATTTTCAAAATGGGAATAATCGTCTTCACATTGAGACAGACTGATTCAGCTTGGATTCAACACATTCAAATTGAAAATAAACAAATTTAAATTGAGACAAATCACTTTCGAAATGGGAACAACCAAATTCGAATTGGGATAAAATAACTTGGCACGAATTTAACAAACCCAAATTTGAATAACTCAACAATTTCAAATTCAACCAATCAATTTCAAATCGGAAGTGAACAATATGGAATTATTTAATTTGTTAGCGGATCTGTTGAAGGTACAAAACACGAAATTCCATGAGAACACAGTTGTCAAATTTTTATTTTCACTTATTTTTATTTCGATATATCATATCATTTGAATCACAAACGACTGTAATGAACACATATTCATGATTTTAAAAATACTTCACATATTATACCCATATCAATTAATTTCTGAGCATCAAGAATGAATCATTGAACATCATATGGCTACATGTGATGTTGTTGAATGATTTGGTCCTCCTTATCGTTGTTTCCCTATTTCATCCTGATTCCTCACTCATGGATACGTTGTGACTCACTCACCTCCAATCACCAGTATTATTGAACACCGCACAGATTCGATTTCCAATATTGTCTACATCTTATTCATGAATGTTGTCAATTCAAATATCATTAATATTCATTTCCCAATTTGAAGTTTATTGGTCTCAAAATGAATGAGTATATTCCTATTTTGATTGTGTTGAACTTGAATATTTCCAATTTATAATAATCTTTATTATTCCCAAGAAACATATATGTTTATAGCAGGAAAAATTATGAAAGAGCAACTAAAAAAAAAATATAAATAATCAGATAATCATTTTTAAATCATATACATAGTACATATAATGTTGTTTCTTCTAGAGACTGTTGAATATAAGTTCTTGAATTGATTCAGGATGATATAAGACAATCAAAGACTTAAGTATTTTTTCAGTTCTTTTTTGAATTTCCCAACACTTATTTTTTTCTTCAGTCTGGCAGGTAATTCATTATAGAGAATTTGAAACTTTTCATTCTGATTTGAAAATGATTAATTCCAATTTGATTGTGTTTACTTCCATTTTGAATTGGTTTACCAATTTGGATGTGTTGAATTCCAATTTGAAATTGATAAGGCTCAATTAGAACTTGAGAGGAATAGAATGGCCAAAAGTAAAGTAAAAACTTGAGGATCACACACACACTGAACACTTGACGAAGTGGCACTCGATTTTTTATTTCCGAGATGAAATGGCTCGTTGATTCGAAGACTTAGAAAAAACATCTTGGTAATTTTTGTAAGACTAAATAAGAATATATATTGATGTGTTCAAAATCTGTTTTCCGTTCAATAACAGACTGTTTAATCTTATGAAGATATTGAAATGTAAACAAAAAGTTATGTTACAACAAAACCACACGAAACCAGGATATCAATTTTATTCCTTGTTCTATGGTTTCGATTTTTAGTTGGAGAACATAATGATCGATGTGAGATTCAGAAATATGGATGAATCGCAGAAAATAAACGAAGAAGTGAATTTCATCGACTTCGTGAAACTTTTCTGCAATCACAAGCCTGTTTACGGACTCTCTAAGGAAAGACTGGAAGAAGCTTTCGATATAATCGTTGATTGTGCAGACGAATACAACCCAAGTGGAGTGATCGATACTGAAGAATTGATCGAATTACTAAAGACTATGGGTAGGTAGAAAATGTAGGAAGTGCTTTCTCATACAATAGTTAGGTATTCATTATGCAAGGGACAAAAGTATCAGATTTTAGCTCGATTTGCTCTAGCTGTGTGCACGTGTAGGTATACAGGGTGGGGCATTATGACAGTGCCGGATTTAGGGGGGGCTATGGGACTATCAGCCCCCGGCGGTGAATTTCAAGAGGCGGTAGAGGAAAAGAGAAAAAAGGAAAAGCAAGCAGCAAAACAGTCGTTGACTGGTTGAGATACTGTTTTTGTGAAAATCATAACATGCACTAATCTAGCGTCAGCTGTGTCTTGGACGCTACAATACAAAAGCGGCTGCGGTCATACTTTTATTTGATGATGTGAAGAAGTACCGCATTTTACTAAGTAGAGTTAGGGGTAATTTCGTGATTCGTTTAACTCAATAACAAAATACAAAATCAGAATTCAGTATTCAATAGGTTGTCGTTGGTATTGCTAGTTATGGAACTAATAATAATTAATAAATATTGAAACTGAAATTAAAGAAAATGAGTAAAAAATAAGAAGGTGGTGCATTCTGGAATTGGCCGAAGATCAATTAACAAAATCAGTTAGACGAAGTTGTCAAGAAATGCCCCAAAATACATTCATTTTTCCTAAATTCAATTGAGACAGAATCAGAACCGACAGAACCGTCTCCGGGACTTTCACGATCTCAAGACGGGGATGGTATGTTTTATATTCTTTTATATTCAATACGCGAAAAAGAAGAGTTAGAATCTCAAAAATAGATGATCAAAATATGAACACGAATAGGCGTTGTTTTAGGGATAATCACAAGAAATTCCTTATTTATTGAATATTGGCAATTACTCAGAAGTTTTTCACTATCTCTGATGATTAGTGATGCTAGTGGTGAAAGGTCATTCTCAACTTTAAAAAGAGTAAAAAACTACCTTAGAAATTCCATGGTGGAGGATATATTGTATATCCTATCAATTTTAAATATCAACAGTGACATTTTTTTTTTTATCGATTGGAGCGCACGAAAGGGAATCCCTATAATGTTCAAAGAACATCGTGCGTTCCTAGGGAGGATAGGGACAGGAGGTAGGTATTGGAATTTTGATGATGCCGTTGACGACTTTGCATCAAAAAAAATCAAGAAAAGTATTTTAGTATTCATCTGAAAAAAATCTTTGTTGTTTGTTGTTATGTTTAACTTGTGAAGTGAATATAATTTGATTCATTGCATAATTATTTCATGTTATTGTTATATGCTGTAAAAGAAGCAGTGAAAGAATTATTTGAATTTTGAATCTGACAATAAGACAACAAGGTCCGTAACTAGAAATCATTACCGCATCCGAAAAAATCTAGAGGGTTAGGATCCCTTTTTTTAAATGGAATGCCCTATATATTAGCACATTTTTTGAAACATTCCTTTGACCTCCATCCAATCCTATAATAATGTTAACTATTTCTCGATCATTTCGAAGTTATTAGTTTTTTTGTCGAAATGATGTCATCTGCAGATCCATACCAAAAAAGTCACTGTAATCACAATCTTGATGGAAAGATGCGTGATATTTCTGTAGAATTTTCATGCCCTAAAATTATACAGGATGGCTAAAAATGTTTTTTCAATTCGGAATATAATTTTCGAAGTTCAATAATTCAAAAATGGTAACGAATATCAATATGGATGTTGATATAAAAGATGTTCGTGTTTTGATTCTACACTAAATGGCCTAAAGATATATCGGGTGTTCCATTTGGAAAATTCGAGAAAAATCACTTCCAAAAGTTCCGAATTGAAAAATCATGTTTAGCCACCCTATATATGATTTGAGTATATGAAAATTCTACAGAAATATCATGCTTCTGTCCATCAAATGATATCATAATTAATATCTCTAAAACTACAAAATTAAGATTACAGTGATTTTTCCGGTATGGATCTGCAGATGACCTTATTTCGCCAAAAAAATTAATAACTTTGAAATGATCAGGAAATTGTCAACAATATTATATGAGTGGATGGAGGTCACAGGAATGCTAAAAAATGTGCTAATATATAGGCATTCCATTTAAAAAAAGTGATCCAGGTCCTCTGGATTGTTTCTGATGCCCCCTGTATAGGCGGCAATAATTTCTAGTCACGGACCTTGTTTTCCCATCGACATTTGTTTTTGAATCAAGTTTCTAGCTATATAGAACTCGAGCTCCAATGCACTAATGCCCTACCCTGTATACAAATAATTGTACAAATCTTATATTTCGTGCAGAATCGTTTATTCAAAATATAGCAGAGCGCTTTCGACTTTGATGATGGCTTTATATCCGAAAGCGGTCTGCTATGATATTTTGAATAAACGATTTTGCACGAAATACAAGATTTGTACAATTATCCGAAGTTATGTTGTCTTCTTGCACGAAGTGGAAGGAGACAAAAACCGAGAGCTGAAATCTAATATTTTTCCGTATTTCTCCCGTGCATGTAAAATACACTATTTTCAATATTAATATACAGGGTGGCATTGGAATAAGTGCAAATATTTCAAACACTGAGAAATCTCGAAGTGTACTATCGAATGGCACTAATAAAAAACATTCAGGGGTCTAAATAAAATTTGAGGTTAGACCTCTTTTTCCACACAAAAAGTTCTACACTGTAACAAATCTGACGTCACATCTGTTCAAATTTCCATGCGGTAGGCACAATCACGCGGAGTTCAACCATTTAAATTGTATTGATATCATGGGAATATATATTCCTTAGACTTTATCATAATTATGTGCTGAATATGTGCACTTATTTCAACCAACACCTTGTATATATCAATCAATATATATTAAAATCTGAAAATTATCGATATGCAATTTGAAGTTTCCAACTGGTATGGCTGTTGTATTTTTTTGACAATAAGACCTGCGTTGCTAACGAGACCTTCTGAAGTAATCAAATATCTGTTAAATTGATAATGTGTTCTGATTTAACAATTGCGAACTTCACTGGTTGTTTAGTAGTTCACAAAACCGCCCGGGCAACCAGATGACGTTTCAGTGACGTCTTTTTACGTCAGTATGCATCTCCATCATAATCATCAGTTACTCTTATTTGTATCAAAAATTATGTAGTTTGTGTCGGCGAGATGTAAGCAAACCAAGAATAGATTGATAGCAATGAAAAGGATGTTGGCGAATTTAGCTTCACTTTGTTAAGTAACGTATATTCATGCATTCTCTGTCACCCAACAAGAATCCATAAATAGGAAATTATTGGAAAATTTTCTGAAACTCACCAAATTGGTACGTCACACCGACGTGATTTTTAGACGTCATACATACGTCATTGCAACGTCATAAAAGTGACGGTTTCAATAGGTACTCCTATATTATCATTCGTATATATACATATACATATATAACTTGATTGGTTTCCGAGATATACAGGGTGTCCGAGTTTAAATAAAAAGCTTTCTCTATATAATCTATATAATCCCGATAGAACTTGCATGTTGATTTGGTTCAATGAGTTATACTCCTATTTAGTAAGCATATAAATAAAATGACCAATACGTGTGTGAAATTAATGAAGAAAGATTTTTTCTGAAAACTTTTCGACACTGAGAATGCCCATCCTGTATATATAGGTACGTCACAAACCTAACGGTTTCACATGAAAATGTAAGTATACCTGGTTTAGAGGTGGTCTGGGAAAAATGGACGTCGACATCTTATTTAACTCATCTAGGTGACGTTTACTCGACGTCGAGATGATGACGTGATTATCACGTCATAGAAAGTACGTCATAGGGACGTCATAAATTGGTCTCTGACGGAAAAATCACCAATTAGGGACGTCACAGTGACGTGATCATTCGTCATCTGGTTGCCTGGGTGCTGATGTGCAACTCTATCTCGATCACACGACTGCTGATGTATACTGGTTAGTAAGATATTTGCAATTTTAGGTGAAACAATGAGTCACTCAAATCTATTCAAGTGCTTCAAGACATTGATGAGGGTGGAAAATGCCGAAGAAAATAGATTAGATTTTCTACCAAAGGTATCTGGTATACAAAATTATGCAGGTTGTTTCCAAAGTTGAAGCGATAATTCGAACAAATAATAGAAGACGAATAAAGAACAACAAAACTGAATAAAAATACATTTGTGTCGAAAAAAATTGTTCAGAAAAAAATATGGAATTTTGAAGTTTGACTAGAATTTTTGTAAATCAGCCAAACCCGAGCGTTCGGTTTCAGCAAGGTCAAAAGTTCTAACTACTTTGGATATTCGAATCATACAGCCCAATTCATTTATTGCTTCAATTTATGTGGAGCACGAACCTGTAGGTACATACAGAATGCTATATTTTGAAGTTTTCAGAAAATGACGTTCAACTTATTATTTGAAGATATTCTTGGTATCGACATGGAGAGATCACAAGTATTTGGAAGCGAATCCGACGAAATTGGAATTGCTGATGAAGATATTGATTTTGACGATGAATACTAGACCCTGAATTTTACATAAAAGACCAGGTGCAGTCGAATTTTTCAGAATTGGCATGCTATGAAATTATAATTATAATTATATTTATAATAGTTTTTATTTATTTGTTAAACCAAGTGGCCTTCGACCGAGGTCCTAGCTTCAGCCAATAAGTACAGAGTAGAGAACAAATTTATACAGGGTGTGGATATGAATATAAGTGCGAAAAACTTCAGGGGGGCTGATTGGTCGTCATATTTCATGGAAAAAAGTACATACTTACAGAGAAGTGCACAAAGAACGGCCAGGATTGTAACTTTCGAATTATTCTAGATAAGGTTTTGAAAATTGATGGGTTGCAAGTATACCAAATTGCCCATTAATTGATGGAACAATGTTCCTTCTATCACTTCCGAAACGACCCCAACTTTTGATTTTTAAATGAGACACCTGTATTGTATTCCATAATCGGTTAGGGATTATCATGACGAATTCAACGATACCGGGTTTGATAGGGTTATTTCAAACGATTACAAAGATATTTGCGTTCGAAGTTTCCATATGCTCATTGGATGTGATTTCGCAATATCAAAACGTCTTTCTCTGTCACACTCATTGAGCATATGGAAACTCAGAACGCGAATACCTGCGTAATCGTTTGAAATAACCCTATCAAACCCGGTATCGATGAATTCGTTGTGACAATCCCTAACCGATTATGGAATACAATACAGGGTGTCCCATTTAAAATTCAAAGGTCAGGGTCGTTTCCAGTAAAACTTGAAGTGATAAAACAGAAATTGTTTCGTGAATTAATGGGCAATTTGGTATACTAGCTGCCCATCATTCTCCAAATCCCTATCTCGAATAATTCAAAAGTTACAGTCCTGGCCGTTTTTTGTGCACTTCTCTGTATAAACATTTGTCTTTAATTGGATTGTATTCGAGATTCAGGGTTTCGAGGGGCTACCAAACAAGCTATCAATGTTCTCAGAGCAAAAAATGTTTAATTGTCATTTGAATAAAAATTCACCTAGCAGCGGCCATTTCTGAAACGCCGTGTGCTAAGATAAAATAGCTGAAAATAAAGCTGCATTATCAGAGCAATCAAAACTGAAATCGGTCCGACCTCAATTTACTCCCGATATCCCAAAAATTTTCCTACGGGAGAATTCGATTTATCAAAAATGAAAAGATCTCGAGATGTTATATCGACGGTCATCTCACGTAATGACGTATCTCAGTTTTCTTAACACTACAGGAGTGCAATTCAAAGATTTCCAACATTAAATTCGCTCATTGTTTTTTTTATTTATTGGTGGAAGAACTTGAACTAGTCGTTATGATATGGTGAGATTTCGAAAAATCACCGCTAAAAACGGAGGAAAAAATATGTTTGTGAGATACGCCGCTAAGTGAGATCATGTTTGTCAAGGTGGCCTCAGATACGCCATGAATATAAAGTGGATTCAAATGAATATCAGATCCAAATATTAATTTTTATTGATAAAACACAGAAATTAATTCGACATGTACAATATCTTACAATATCACTCTCAGTACCTTGAGATATTTCAATTTCCGCGGCAAACCGGATTATGAGATAGGTCACTGTTAAAATTTTTAACAAATAATGAAAATATATCTCACGTATTGACGTAAGTCCCATAGTTAGGTTACTTCGTATGAGATTGGGTAGTCCAATAATTTGAGGTAGGCTGAGTCTCGGGCTGAGTATACGATATTACACGGAAACCCATGAATGTTGAGCTACACCACTTTGTGAGATCATAGAGTATAAGAATATAAGTCATTTGACGAAGTACCTCAAATTCCGATTTTTATGAGATACGTCATTACGTATGAGAGGACCCACGATATGCTCAAAGTCTAAAAATGGAAGAGAGTGATTTTAAGTCCATCTTCGTTTTCAAGAAGATTCGTTCTCACGTGATTTCTATATCAATCCATCCTATTGGCTAACGGATACATCTATAATTACACCTGTTGAATTTCACGAACAAAGATTTCTACCTATAAACTGTTTACCTATTTAATGAATTCATCCTCGTACTAATAGAGGTCATTCTAATTCAATTCTAGGATTCTTATTACCATTATCAGAGTAGAACAAAGAGAACTGAAAGTACTGTTTAATCTTCGTTACTGTTTAATGTTCGTGATAATTACAACGATGTCGCTACCGATATCGAACTATTATGATATATCAATAACTGTTGATAATATTCATTGAAAATGACTTTAAAGCGAGTAACGATTCAATAAGGTAGGAACAAACTCCGCTAGAATTTCTTCTGTTCTGGAAGAAGTATTATCTCGTTTGGCTGCAAGAGCTCATAACTTTTTTTAACGGGCATAAAGGGAACTTGGACCGAAGGCAATTTCTTGTTTAGCATTAGCGCCGTGCGTTGCCATATGGCAACGCTAGTCAGATAGAGATTCAAATGATTCCCTGATACTCAAATTTTAAGCTGTTAGGGTGAGAGACAGCCCACATGATTCGCAATAGAACCGGTTATGCACATGCCGCCATTTTTTTGTTGTGAGTAAGCTGTTTCGGCCACGTGAATTTGGGAAACTTTGAGTTGATCTCAACTGACGTAAAACAACATGGACGTCACGTTCGTGTACAGGGTGATTCACCATAAATGTTCCTCCCCCTCTAGCTGAGTTATTTTTGAACCGATTTCAAAATTCGAAATATCATCTCAAATGATTTTCGATTAAGTTTTTTTCCGCTACATCAGGAAATACAGGGTGCTCGGAACAAACGATCCACAGGGTACTATTTGATTTTTTTAAATGGAACACCCTATTTTTCATTGTATTTTTAGATTCTTCCTGATGAGCTGATTTATTCAATGTAACACACTTGAGGTCTAGCGGGGATGATTACAGAGATATAGGGTGTTCAAAATCGAGATTTTTCAACTTTAGGATTTTTTTGTGACGAAACTATTCATTATCGGTCAAAACGACTTTCATGTCCGTGTCTTAACTTTTGATTTACTATCTAATTACATTTATTAATTGGAACAGATACACAGGGTGATCAGAATTTTAAATCTTGAAGCACCCTGTATTTTTTTCAATTGTATTCCAGAAGAAAGTGAATCAAAAGTTGAGATAGAGACATGTAAGCCGTTTTGATCGATGATGAATAGCTCGGACACAAAAAAATCCTAAAATTGAAAAATCTCGATTTTGATCACCCTATATATTATTTGTAATCATTCCCGCTAGACCCCAAGTGTGATGCATTGATGGAATCAGCTCTTCACGAAGAATCTAAAAATACAATGAAATACAGGGTGTTCCATTTGGAAAAATCAAGTAGTACTCTGTAGATCGTTTGTTCCGAGCACCCTGTATTTTCTGATGCAACGGGAAAGAAATTTCTGAAAAATCATTTGAGATTATTTTTAAAATTTTTAAAATCGGTTTAAAACGAAGTGAGCTAGAAGGGGGGACATTTATGGTGAACCACCCTGTACATATCATCCTGTTTGATTTTGCGATTTTTGTTTCCATAATTATGTTGCACATGCTTCAAGTTATATATGTGATATATTGAAAACATTTGCAGGAATGTTTTTTGTGTAGATAATTTGTATCAATAAATATTCGTGTTGCCATCTGGCAACGCTAGGCGCTTATACTCAGCGAATGTGATGACTCTCCGGCCGAGCCGATGGATGTTGAACCATTGCCGGACAATCTTCTCTTCGGAATTCTGCTGATACTTCCATTCCAATATGTGATGGGTCAAATAATTAGATGACTGAGCGGGAAATGACGAAGTTATTCAGCACTTGTCAGAAGAAGCCAGGTGGTATGCGTTGTTTTTGGAAGTAATCAAGTGGTACTATTTTTATATGGAGGAAACTGATCAGATGGATCAAAATATTATTTATTACCGCATATAGGAATTCGTACTGGCCCCTAATCACTTGGGTATTAGACGTAGCCATGCAAAATAGCTGGATTTTGACAAAGACTGTGTTCAAAATGTGATGGAGGTATTTGTGTTAATATTCCAAAACATGTATCACAAGCGCCTAGTGTTTCAATATGGCAACAGCAGATTTTTGGAGAACCTGAATTGTCTCTATGATTCTTCAAACTTTTCTCGTCGTTCGAAAGCATTTCACACTAGTAAATGGCCATAAAATTTCAGAAAAAAAGGAAAAAATAATTCTGGCGCTAATGGGCTCATCTATCAACGGATTCGGATTCCACTATAAGCTGTTAGGTCCCGCACAAGTTTCGCCTTCTGGGGAGTTGGTTCCCAACTTCGAAGTAGCGATATACAATATTTTTACATATTTACAAATCTAGATTTTCACATTTCACCGTAGACAATATTTCAATGTGAATGGTGCACGGTCCTTTGTATGGAATCGTAATGATTCTTTCGACACAACTTGTGAGAAATGGGGTAGGTAACAGATGCTGCAAAACAAAGTCACAGACAAAGTGCTCCGTATCATTACCAAAGAGGTGGGGTAATCTGTGACCAAATGTAATCGATATCCTCGTATGGTGGATCTCCACGAACAGTGTCATAACTCACCATTTAATAAAGAACGCATCCTCAGAATGTTGGATAAATTTTAAAGATTCCATGTTCAGGAAAGTGAACTCACTAAGAGTCGTATCACTTCTATTAAAGCTGAACATGGAATCTATAAAAAACATGGATCAATCTACGAGTCAACCGATGTCTCTGGAGAAACCAGGGACGATCTGTAGGATCTCACAGTGGAAATTTGAAAATATCACAATATTTCTTGGACTAAAATCTCATCGAGAGAGACGTAGCCGTTTGTGGCTTCGATTCACGATGAGGCTCGAGCGTTCCTCTGGCCGTGTATGTAAGCTGCTTCAGATGGTCTAGCGGCCGATTCTGAGCATGGCTCATGGACATAGTCGAGGATGTATATATCAACCCCAAATTTTCTTGAGAAATCATCAGAAGACATTTTCAAATACAGCCACAAGTTTTCTTCAAATAATGTCTCGGAATGAATCTTGAATGTGATGTTCTGAGACGATCTTCAGCCCGTAGATAACGGTAACAGGA